CCTGGGCTCAATTCCCAGCATCCACATGGCAGTTCACAACTGTTTGTAACTCCAGTTCAGGGCACTTGACACCCATGGCAGAACACCAATGCACATTTAAAAAAAGAAAAAGAAAAAAAGAGAAGGATTGTTTCTAGGAATGTCCTGTTTACAATCCCATTTTAGGTGACTGTGTTTACCACAATTGAAACACTTGACACTTCTGTTTTTCTTCAAACTTCTGGAAATTGACTTTTCTAGCCAAATATCATCATGGCCATGAGATTCAATATTGAATACCTCCGATCCAATCTTCCAAGGGTGCTGATCTTGCCTTTAATGGCCTAAGTACCCTTTTGCATTGTGTATTAGCATTTTCAAAAGCCAGAGTTTCAACTATTACTTGTCTAGCTTCTGAATTTGGTATCATTCTATTTACTGTTGATGTCAATCTCTGTAAGAAATCAGTGAAGGTTTCTTTTGGGCCCTATATTAGCTTTAGTAAATGACTCAATTTTCTTTCCCACTTCTTCAATTCTGTCCCAAGCCTTCAAAGCTGCTGCATGGCATAGACTACCTTTCTACATTAGCATAATCTCCCTCTCCAAGAAGTAGGTTTTGGGAGATTTCCACACCTCTAGCCCTCCTTCATTGTTCAGTGGTCTTAGCCTCATCTTTCCACCAGGTTATCCCTTGTAACTGTGGACCAGGCTCCAAGACTGCTATAACCAAGTCTTGAGGGATAATTCTATTACAAGCTGATCACAAGTTTAAAATTGGCTTCAAAAATCATGAAATGCATGCCATATGAGAGTATCACTTCCTTGAATCTCCTTAAATCTAGCATTGCCACAGGATTCCAGTGAGTACTAAAAGAGCCTTGAAAATATATGTCTTCAGCAGTTGTAATTCCTCTCTCTGGATTTGAATATCTCTAGGATCTGTTTTAATAAGTTTTTCTAAGGCCTGTATCTTGGCATTCAAATCAACCAACTTTTTTAGAGATAAACCAAAAATTATTAACATGATAATTAACATCCTGCTAATCCCAGTTGATTATCCCTTCATTTAATTGATTTATTTGTTCCAATTTTAAATCATGTATTCTGTAATCATACAGAGACCTAACTTTCTCCACCGTAATTTTTAACATGGGGAAAAAACTTCTCTCTCTCTCTTTCTCTCTCTCTCTCTCTCTCTCTCTCTCTCTCTCTCTCTCTCCTAATTCCCCTCTTAAGAATTCCCAATTGAGGCTGGGCAGTGTGGCACACGCCCTTAATCCCAGCCCTTGGGAGGCAGAGGCAGGTGAATCTCTGTGAGTTCGAGGCCAGCCTGGTCTACAATCGCTAGTTCCAGGACAGGTTCCAAAGCTACAGAGAAACCCTGTCTTGAAAAAAACAAAACAAAACAAAACAAAACAAAACAGACAAACAAAAAAGAATTCCCAATTGAGCAGGGTGGTGGTGGCACATGCCTTTAATCCCAGAACTCTGAAAGCAAAGGAGGCAGATTTTTGAGTTCAAGACTGGCCTGGTCTTGAGTGAATTCTAAGACAGCCAGAGCTGTTACACAGAGAAACCCTCTTAGAAAAAAAAAGAAGAAGAAGAAGAAAAAGATCAACAACAATAGAAATCTGAGCAGGTTTCAAGGCAGCTATTTAGTTTGGCAGCAGCCCAAAAAGGAGGTCTAGGGAAAGCCCAGAACCCAGATGGGCAGTAACTCCGATCATAGGTAACTCTGGCTTTTTTCGTGAATTGGTGTCCTAAAGTTGGATGCCAGAAATAAATACTACATTAAAATTTTTATTACATGTGTGCGTGCGCAAATGCATGCACATGAACTCATTGTATAGCACATGTTTGGAGACCAGAACATAACTTGTGGGAGCTGGCTCTCTCCTTCAAACATGTGGGGCCCAGGCATCAGACTCACCCAGGTTGTCAGGTTTGGCAGCAAGTTCTGACTGACGTATTGAGCCGTGGCATTGGTCCACACTCACCCTCACTCACCTTAAGGGATGAAGCAGGGGCTCAGCAGTTAAGAGCAGGGATTGTTCTTGCAGAGGATCCCGGGTTAGTTCCTAGCACCCACATCTGGCATCTCACAGCTCACAACTGACTGTAATTGCAGCTGAGGGAATCTATCATCCTCTTCTGAGCTCCACAGTCACCTGCACGCTTACCCACTTCACACAAACATGTACATGAGACTCTGTCTCGGACTTGGCAGTAGTGGTGCATGCCTTTAATCCCAGCACTTAGGAGGCAAAGGTAGGTGAATCTCTGAGTTCGAGGCCAGCCTGGTCTACAGAGTGAGTTCCAGGACAGCCTGGGCTACACAGAAAAACCCTGTCTCAAAAACATACAGAAAACAAAACATAACAAAGACTCTGTCTCAAAAAAAAAACTAAAATAAAATAAAATATTCTCAGACTGGAGAGATGGGTCAGCAATTAAGAATATTGCCTGCTCTTCCAAAGGTCCCGGGTTCAATTCCTAGCAACCACATGGTGGCTCATAACCATCTGTAATGAGGTCTGGTGCCCTCTTCTGGCCTGCAGGCATACACACAGACAGAATATTGTATACATAGTAAATAAATATTTAAAAAATAAAATAAAATATTCTCTAACTGAAAGCTCTATGATTAACCAGTAGAAAAAAAAAAGCCACAGCTCTCATGTTCTTGCCTTTTATGTTTCCCATAAAAAGAATTAGGACTAGGAAAAGTCATTCCAGTTCTGGGCAGAAAATTTACCAAATGAGTCTGGGAACATTATTCCACACCAGGCATGGAGAAAGCTGTCAGGCTTCCAGGAGAGTGTCAACGGGGCGGAAGAACCAACCTCAACAGTGAACAATTTGAACTTTATTATCAACTAAAGCACATTAAATGGTTTGAACATGTGCATTCATTAGATTTATTTCTTATTTATTTAGTGGTTGGAGAAGATGCCTGCCCAGACATGTGGAGGTTCTGCCATGGGGTTTCTGGGGTTGAAATTTTAGCACTAGAGAGATGGAGGAAGGAGGATCAGAAGTCCAAGGCAGTGCTCACCATGGATTTAGTGGCCCTTGTTCTGCTTCATCTGAGTGACTGTGGAGTGTTCCTATATCTAGGGCCCACCCAGAAACAAAGACTGCATCCTATATCCCAAGTCCCACACGGAGTGGTCCTCAGCCCTATGAAGGAACACCATAATCTTTGGGCTTCTGTGTTTAGCACATGGCGGTGACCTCTCTACTCCTTTCCAAGAGAAAACTGCCCAAACAGCTAACGCTTTATTTTCTATTCCACACTTCTCTGACTTTGGATTTTCTTTTCTCTTCACTCTCAAAATTCATTCCTTTGAGAACAAAATGTGTGACCTGTGAGATGGCCCAGTGGGTAAAAGCTTGCTGCATACACCCAGCGGCCCACTGTCCACCCCAGAATCCACCTAACGATGGGAGGAGAAACTGGCTCCGCAGAGCTGGCCTCTGACCTGTACACGCATATACGGCATAGGCACTCAGTAATAATCAACTGTAAATAAGTTGATAAATAAGTAATTTGTGCTGCTTGTGGTGGCGTGTGTCTCTAATCCGAGTACTCGGGAGGCAGAGGCAGGTCGAGGCAGGCAGATATTTGAGCTCAAGGCCAGCCTTGTGTCCACAGCAAATTCCAGGCTAGTCAAGGCTACAGAGTTGAGACCCTGTCTCGAAAAGTACCCCCTTTTGAGGACAGGTAATGAGTGAATTTTAAGACAGATGAACTTTGATAATGTGTGACATGAAAAAACCAAAAAATCAAATAAGCAGTATTGGTTGCGTTGGCCATGTCTATAATCCCAGCATTTAGAAGCCTGAGGCAAGAGAAATATCAGAAGTCTCAGGTCACCTTGAACTGCACATGAGTTCCGGGCCAGCCCGAGGTTCATAGCAAGACCCCATTTCACAAAACAAAACAGGCTGAGACGGCTCAGAGAGAGTAGAAAGGCAACTGTCACTGGGCAGTAGTGGTGAAAGCCTTTAATCCCAGCACTCAGAAGGGAGAGGTAGACCCATCTCTGGGAGTTCAAGGCCAGCCTGGTCTACATAGTGAGTTCCAGGACAGTCAAGGCTATACGGAGGAACCTTGTCTAGAAACCACCACCAACCTCCCCCCCCCAAAAAAAAAAGAAAGAAAAAAGGAAAGGTGCCTGTCACCTTCCACTGAGCCTGATGGTCTGTTTGATCCCAGGACCCACATGATGAAAAGAAAGAAATGAACTGACTCTGGCAAGTTGTCCTGTGGCCTCCATGTGACTGTAGTATGCTCCTACACAGACGTGGATATGTGGATGGCCTCCACGTGACTGTAGTATGCTCCTACACAGACGTGGAAATGTGGATAGGCTTTTCTTTAAAATTGAGAAATCTGCATGGAAGGAGCCTGAACTCAGAAGAGCATAATTGTGGAAATGAGTGACGTCAGTGTCCTATATATTCCCTTCATTTTCTTGACTTTCTTTCTGGAGCGTTGGATGGAAACCAGGGTCCCCTGCAGGCTAGGCCAGCAAGGTGCTGTAGCCCTGAACTGTACTCCTGGGCCTCTTCCCCTTTCGAGACAGGGTTTCACTGTGTAGCCCTGGCTGGTCCAGAATTCCCTATGTAAACAAAGCTTCTTTTCTTTCTTTCATTTTGAGACAGGGTCTATGCAGTCCTTGCTATCCTGGAACTTGCTATGTTGCTATATAGACTAGACTACACTGACCTCGAACTCAGAGATCATCCTGCCTCTGCCTCCAGAGTGCTGGGATTAAAGGCCTGTGCTAGCAAGCCCAATTTAGACTTATTTTTAATTATGTATATATGTGCATCTGTGTGTGGGTATGTGTACGTGTGAATACAGTTTCTCTTGAGTACAGCAAAGGGTGTGGGGTCTCCGGAAGCTGGAGTTACAGTTGCAAGTTGCTCCAGGTGGATGTTGTTTACTGAACTCTGGTCCTCCGCAAGAGCAGTATGGACTCTTAACTACTGGGCCATCTCTCTTGCTTGTAGGCATCTTTTTTCAGAGAGGTCAGGATGTGATGCAGCTCTTCTGTAGCTCCGGACCGTCTCAAACTCGACGTTTAAGAGAGGATGACCTTGAACTTCTGACCCTGTGAGTGCTGGGTTTACTGGTAGGCACATCATGGAGTTAGGGATCAAACGGGGCTTCTTGCATGCCGAGCAAGCACTCTACAGAGCTGCCACCCCAGCCCTGACTTTTCTGTAACTACACTGTATCCGTTTTTTTCTTAAGCTATGTCTCAGTTTTTCAAAGCGACACATGCAAGGATCAATGATGACTGTGTGCCATTAATCAGAAGTCATAATTCATTCTGTCGCCGTGAAGTCCACCCCCGCAAAACAGTAAACTGCCTTTTCTAATCTTCGCCAAGTGAGAAACTGAAATGAGTGGGAGGGGCGGTAACTATTTTCACTTTTGTCTTCCTGTTTTTTTCAGAGCCTGGGAAAGCAAGTCAGAATTTCCAGTCTTTTCCAATTCCCACATGATTTCCTAATTTAGAATGAATTCAGAGAAAATAAGTCTTTCTCCATGTGCTGAAGCCTTCTCATTCTGGCACCAGGGAAGCAACCTGAGGTGCAGAGTACTCCAGCCCGGGTCCCCACACTCACCCAGCAAACCTAGGTGGCAATTTTCGCACCCTGCAATGCCTTCATCATGGACCCAAGTGGGAGGCCTTCCGGGAGATGCGCAAGAAAGGTGTGACCCTGGCTAGTTCTGGAGATCCCTAAGGGTCCAAACCTTAACCACAGCACCTATCTGCAGAGACAAGCCCTGCGGTTTGACCCCGCGCGTCTTCCAGCAGTCACTGCCCTCCGGGACTTTTAAATCAACTGTTTAGAGAGGCACAGGTGTCCGGCCCTCAGTGTGACTCCCACCCCACGGCCTCAGTCCCTCCTTGGAGAAGCAGGCTCTGCGGAGCACGGGCTCCCCGGTTCCTGCGCGCAGATGGATCTAGGTTGGGGAGCATATGGCCTACAACGCGCCGCAGTCCCCAGGAGGACTGGCACGGTTAGGAAAGCGTGTGGAATTCAGTCACCGGCCTCGGCGGGCGCAGCAGGCCTGGGCCTCTCCCTGCGC